TAATGACCAATAATAATCATTATAGCGAGATACTTATTTTTATATTAATACTATGCTTATTATAGGAGAAGAATCATTATTCTGAAAGTATCCCTTCTGATGGTACTACGCTACCAGATCTACCACTACCACTGAATCTCATTCCGCTAAACGAGAAAACTCTGATACATATTTAAACAGTGTGCTGACTAATACACAATATTGGAGTCTTCTCTCAGGAAAATTTATCAAGGAAATTTATGAAGAAGGAATTAGAATGGCAAGTAATTATATTTTTTGTTGGAAACATTAATGTCAAGGGATCAACTAGTTTTCTTACTATTTAAGTCAATTATTTGAGCCATAAATCAATGCTAGGGCACAGGTGATCAATTGTGTATCAAAGAATACTATTGACTTTATTATTTTAATCTTTAGAATAATCACAAGCAGATAAAGAAGAATAAGAATATTGCGGACCTTCCTGATGACCAAACATACTCGAAAAAACCTCTCATAGAGTCCCATCAGAATTATAATTCAACATTTAATCTTTTTACTAAATTTAATTGTGAAGAAGGTAATAAAGCATCTTAGTTTTTGCTAAATTTCTGAAGTAATCTAATATATATTATAGATGTAGATATTGAGTCTGAATATTATGATACTAGGAAACGGCATAAGATTTTTTATTCATGGAAAGATGTAATTGATAAAGTTGATTTCTGAGATACTTTTAAAGAGGATGTGAGTACACGATGTGTTCATTGTTTTGTTACATTCACTATATATTAACTAACTATACATACTTACGCGCTTTTTTAGTGGATTGTTGAAAGCTACAATCTCTCTAATGAGTTTCAGAACTTTCAACAGCTAACAATTCGACAAGTTAAAGAAACCTTGTATTTATGTTATAAATAAGACATTCAAAAAATTCTGTGAGTATCGCATTCCATCTGATTCATGTAATTTTATGACTATGTTCAATATTATGTTTATTATTCTCATGTTAAAATAGTTGCCTTTTGAATATAATGTTCATCAAACGTACAAAACCTTCATATCTTACCATTACTTCAGCAATTTGAAACAAAATTTTCGAAGACAATTACCTCTAAGTCTGCCACCAGTAGTGAATAATATGGCTCTCGAATATTCTTCCGTTTCCATATGTTACTTTTCCCACTCTCAGATTCGGAGTTAGGTTACAAGAAATTGAAATTAAGCATTTTCTCCTTTAATTCTAGATGTTGAATTCTTTTACATTATTAAGTGATATTCAGGACGTATCGTGTGCTAATTTTTCCAAAGTTGCAGAATTGAATGATCAAGGTAAGGACAAATTTTGTCAGGCTCAAATCATTTTTCGAAACTTAGAAATGTTGCATCCATTATAAGTTATAATTAATGTAACGCTGAATAGAACATTTTCTTGCTATAGTTTATTACTAAGTTCGAAAAGCGTGAATAGCAATAATGAAGACACCTTTGTCCTTGAAACTTTGTATGATCTATTTAAAGAAAATTTTCACGATTCAATGTTTAAGTTGATATGGTAAGAGTTTGCATTTGTAAGTTTACCGTATGATTGTTAAATTATGTAATTAATGATGTCTAATTTAATAGGGCAAATAGCGAGAGTTCCATTTCAAAAAATCACCGTTCTAGCAGTTCTAGTGATAAGGAAAATTTTTGAGGTAAAAAATCCAATTTCAAAATTTTGACCAATATAAGAGATGAGATTCTTTTTGGTGAAGCTAAACTGAAAGATTCATCATCTATATTGATCAATAAAGATTTTGTTAAGCTTTTCAACTTCCAAGCAAATGCCTTAGATGAATTAGTCAAGAGATATGGAAATAGGATTGGATTAGTTTCTTTCGGTATTTGGATTTGCGGTAAGTGCTCAAATTTGGTTTGACTTTTTAATACATTTACTAACACATAATTGATTACATTTATAGGCGCATGTATTTGCATCTATAAGATGGATATAAATTATGACAGAATTTATAAAATGTTCTTAACAGTAAATGTATTTACTCCAATGGAACAGGGGGCAATTTTTAAGTTTGGTATCAGTGTTGAAAACATTATATAATGTCAAAGTAAGTAATAAATAGTAGTTTCTTTTTACTACCTTTAGTGCAAATCTCCAAACCATTAAACACTTTGTGATTTAAGGACCATATTTTCAAAATATTGGAAGTAATCGCTTCTAGCACGCCACTTAATCTGTCACATTCTACTTATTGCAGAATGTTCATCTTCTTACTTAAATCTGTCAAGATTGCAATTATTAGCCTATCATCAAAATAATTAATTCTATACTTTCTGGGCTAGAATCATATTTATATTCTTATCCTTTCATTTGCATTAAATATACATTAAATTCAATAATAGGCTTAGACACTTAATCCTGTATTCTTGCGAATAAAAATAAAAGTAATGCGCTAAAATTTCTGTCATTAACGTTATCGTTATATTCATTCCAAAATTTTTCTTGACAATTTTTCGAGACTGCGCGATCCTAGAAATTTGACCTACTTTTTTCTTTGCAAATTTCTTAGCAAAATGTATATAATCTACTAATGGACTTTTGAATATTGCAGAACTTATCGTCTTAAATGGAAATGATCTTTAGCGTGCGATCCATGTGACAAAAACTTCATCATGTGAGATCGATCACCTGAAATGCACAGAAGATATTCAGTAAAATTTTTTTGACAGGCTGTTTCTTTTTTCTGAACTCGCGTCATATATCATTGTGCTGTATACGTCATAGAAATCTTAGCTGGTAGATCCTATATTTCTATTGGTTAGAAGTGAGAAGAGTCTTCACAGTTATCATATGACATAGCATGTATCACAAGCTACAGTAAACTTCTGATTTATTTTCACATGTATTTTTTACACATATTTTCCATGATATAATAATAACCAATCATAAATAAAAAAGAGAAAATTATTTTTTTACTAATCGCTTATTTATTATGCCATATTAAATGATAAGCAAAGTGTATTACATATAACGAATATGATTAATCGATAGATCCTGTTTCTATTAGTTAGTAGTGAGAAGAATCTTCACGATTATTATATGATACAGTATGCTACCTTATTTTCTTGTCCGGCTTACCAATTCAACCCTTACCATAGCACCGTAATTATAAATAAGCTAACATGGATTTTTTTTTATCTTAATAGCATCCTAGGAATTGATCGCATTATTTCTAATGAGTTTGGATCATAGAGTGGCTCCTAATCTTTTCTCTAAACCCTCTAAAGAGCTGAATCTTGTTTGGATTGCAAACAAGAAATTATAGACTCACATGTGATGTTCCAATGTGGCTATACCTTTCACATTAGATGTTGTCATGCAAATTCAGTTTGCTCTGAATGGTGTCTAGAATGCTGAAACAATATTATTAAACAGCTTGAACAACTTGGTTGGAAAAATATGAGTAGAAAAGAGAGATTATTAGCTTTTATACATAAGATATCAACTGAAGTGATGGAAATTGATAGCAATTTATCAGAAATAATCCCTCAGGATCAGCCTTCAGTGATTCTATGAAAATTATCTCAAAGAGTCAGCAAGGCTGATTCTAATACCATCTATTGCTATTACGAATTTGGCTTAGCACTAACCATTCATCTTAATGAATTTATAGGGAAAGGGCAGAAGAGAGTATAATATAAGTTAAATACAGAGGTTTAGGAATATTTACCAGCTGGTACTTCTCTAGCTGTAATAAAGGATAAAATTAAAAAGACTAGAAAAATGGTTAAAATTTTTAGTGATGATCTATCTAGAATTCAATTTGTTTGTTCATTTTCTATAGACTAGCTCTCAACTTTTAATGAAGATGATATCAACTTTATAAAATCAAAATTACTAACGTTATAAATATGCGAAACACCTTAAGTGTTTTATTATGTTTTTTATGTTTTTATATCTTTATGTTGTATATACAATGATATGTCATTAGTTCTTCCTTTCAGTAGTCATTTTTTAGTTTATGTGATTTTTTTCTTATAATTGATAAGTAGGAATATAATAGATAAATTTGTAGCAAATGAAGGAATAACAAATCTTATATGTCAAACTATCATTATGTCTGAACATTCAAGCATTTAGCTTTTTCAGCTTAGCCAGCCAATTTACAATAAAAGTACTTTTCATTTTTTAATGGTTCTGGTTCTGTCTAGTATTTTTTAATCAATGAATCTACTTGCCTTCTTGCAAACTTGAAAGTCAGAAATATCACGTAAAAATTTTTATTTAGCTTCTCTTGCAGATTGATAGATCAAAGGGGTGGTAAACTTTGAATTTATTTTCTATTATACAATTACATTTTATTTTATACTATTCTACTATGCCTATAATGTATACACTTGCAGTTATGAAAAATAATATCATAGCTAGAATAATAATTATTAACATTTATTTTTACACCCATAATATATTTAATGAAAAATATTATTCCAGTTGCTCATCTGATCCTTTACCATAATTGATGGTAACATTGATCACATTTGCATTTTGCGAAAAGAAGGGATACTGGGAGTTACGGGTCTAGAGTTAATAGGTGTTTCAATAGATGGTATCACCAGTCTTAATGTTACAAGAGAATCTTGAAAACTCATAATGGTTTTAGATGTTTTCTTAGATGGTTTATTTAGTGATTCGTTTGGTGGTCGCTCAAGTCTTTCTATTGATTGTTTTGCTGTTACTTTAGGTCTAAAAATCATAGATATTTCCGCGTCTGATGATAATAAACTCACCTTGCTTAACCTCCTATTTCCTTCATTGTGAGCTTATTTTAGAAATAGATTCGTATTGTTAATAATATAGCTGAAGCATTTATTTTCTCCTGAAATATATACCTTGATTTAACCAAAACTTGCTAAAGAACTCTTCATAAATTTCTTTGCCAACTAAACTTCTTTTGCTTTTAGTGTCTTCTTTGTATTTTTTCACTGTCTAATGAAATAATAATAAGTATATTTTGCTATTCAGATTCCTTATAGAATACAAGCAAACGTTTCTTACATAAAAAGCTTTCGTAAGATACAAAAACTTCTTGTAGCAATCATCACCTATGAAATAGTTTATTCTTTCCTGCTTATTAATTTTATTAGTGATATTCTCTCAAAAAAATCATTTCTTTTTGTTTGGAGTGGCATGATACTTAGCATTTCTTTATTTTCATTCATCAATGAGAATGCGAAGTTAAGCGTCTGACCACTCAATAGAAGACATTTTTTTATATGATGAGAAGTTTCTCAAGAGAATTGAAGTCTATTTTATGAAGAAATATTGAGTAATGTGTTAGAATATTGCGAGACTAATTAATTTGATCAATGTAATGATTTAATCAAATAATAACAGTGGCTTAACTATCATATTAATAGATCAAGAACAGTGAAATCTAATTGGTCAATCATCTCATGATTTAGTCAGATCAGAGGCATTCTTCAAACAAGGTGTTATGCATAGAAATTTGTCAGCTTCTGGAACCCTCCTAGAACTATCGAGGAACTGGCAGAGATCTAGGATGATACATGTAATATGATTATGTCATATCACAAACTGATTTAGCCAAGCACTGTGTATATGCATGTAAATATAAAATTAGCTTAGCCTGAGATATGACCTTATATAAATTCTGATATGCTTGTAATCGAATAAAATGAATCCAATATTTTATTATAATATAGTTATTATAAACTATTATAAATTACTATAAATCAATAAAAAAATAGTGAAATTGCTAAAATCACTAAAAATACTATAAAATTATTATAATCTGTTATAATCTACTAAAATACTATTATGGATTTAGATAGTAGAACCTATTCTAAGTTAATTAATGCAAATAATACTTATGGAGGCTCTGAAGAATATATAAGAATACTTGATGTAATATTGCTTTTAACAAAAAGACATGATCATAAAACATCAAAAATGTGATACTTTCATATCTGTAATCTATTTAAAAAAATACTTGAAGAGAATCCAAGAATCCTTTTTAAGAATGAATATATTATAATATATAGAAAGCTTTATGAAAATGATAAAGTTCATATTAATTAAACAAATTATATATATTGTAATGTATGTGACTCCTTAGTTTTCATATCTGAAACTTTTTATAGCAACCATTGCAGTCATGATAGCCACTTGAAAAATGTATTTCTGAAAATACTATTTCAAATGAACATGCAAGAAGAAATGAAATTCTCCAATCTATTGATACTAGAGAATTGCAGATCTGGCAATATAAACAATATATATTACAAGAAGAGGCTAAAATTAATCATTTTTGTCTAGAGCTTTTCTTCTAATTTACTTCACACTCAGAAAAGAATAAGTTGGTATCAGTATCATATGATTTGAATTTTATAGCTAGCTATAAAAATTATGCACAATATAAAGCAACTATAGCAAAAAATACTATGTCAAGTGCTTCAAATTTTAAGTCAGCTTGTATTACTAATGCTGGGCAAAATGGTTTTACCAATTTCCGTTACCAATGGTAATGATCAAAAATCTGAAATATTAAATGGACTAATTCCTCCTCTATTGTCACGAAAGTCTGTTGCATTAATACAATATAGTGCAAGTACACTTAGCTTTATTGATGTTGATGAATACTGGGAATTTTTGCGAAAAAAATGCAAGGAAATAAACTTAATATCTTTCAACTAAATAATAGCATTATTTATCTTAACTATATTTATAAATTATCCATGATATTATTTATTTTTTTTGCAAAATAAATAACTACATAATCTACTTTTAGAAAAATGAATTTGGGTTTAGCAATATGTAATCTCTCAAATCAGTTATAAATCAATTAACTGCTAATCAGCAAATCTGTATAAATTTGAATGATAATATTCTATATTATATGTTACTCAAGAATTCGTTAAAAATATTATAAATCAATAAAATCAATATAATTTACTAAATATGATGGTTGTTACCTTGGTAAGTGCTATTAATATTAATATGATTATTAATAAAAAATAATGGCAATTACCTAAGCTTGTCAGTAATTGTCCTGGATATGATATAGAATATTATAGAATATATCTCAGAAATTACCATAGTGGTATGGATGTCAAAAAATTTCTTGCTAATGAAAAAATCTATTATAGATTATCAATAA